GACGCCCCTACGACGCTCGCTCTCACTCAGCCTGGGGCCCAGGCAGCGGCAGTCTCCAAAGCTCATCTATCCCTTACCATACATCCTCAGACATGCGATACTTGGGTCCGTACATGTCATATCCTTTGGATCCAGACTCACCGCGCGGAGGCTCTTGGTATGGCCCGTATGGGGGATCGCGATGGGGCGGAGGCGGTCGGGATGTAAGGTCCCCATCTCCACCGCGAGGCCCGGGCTACTATGATGATGTCGAAGAATATGGGGGATCGCAATATGGTGGAGGTGGTTGGGGTGGGCGGGAGAGGTCGGGCTCTCCACCGCGGGGTGAGGGTTACTATGATGATTTCGACGAATGGTGGTAAACGATGGTTCCCGTTGGGAAGTGTATTCATCATGGTCTGACGTGTGGTACTCTTATATTAGCCAGAACTGTACCATCGAGGCGATAGTTGCAGAATCCACCGTGTCAATTATGTGTTCGGGTCACCCAATGAAGCGTGAAGGAGAACACGTGCTACGTTGTTGAACGTGAATTTCAACCATTCCTGGCACCTACTGATATCAGAATTGCCCCTGTGGAGACCAGGTGTTGCAGGATGCAAGGAAACTCTACCGAGAGTTACCTTGGGCATGAAGTAGGGATATAGGTACCTTCATTTCATAGCATGAAAGCCAATGGCCATCTCATGAAACTATCCTGGCTTCGTAAGCTTGCGGATGTCATCTCTTAAGTCCATGCATTTAAGCCTTTTAACACCGAGGGTGTTGTTTAGCGCCGTCGAAACGCATCGGCCAAGATCTTGTCGTGCAGTGGGTTGAACCTGCGGTTGCCTGGAGAAGTACATCATATAGGACGCCTAAACACAGCTTACAAATGTCGCCTTGGCAGAGCTTTCGCGACAATGTGATGCTTCGTGCCTGTCATCATTATTTGAAGAGTCCTCTAGGGTGTCTGTAGGCGAAGTACATAAATATGGCCACGCATCGGATAGAAACAGCATACTTTGTCTTGCCTAGTAAAGCTCGCGAAATCTTCAGTCTGACTTCGACACGACCACTATGTCGAATCTCCAGTACTTCAACTATCCCGGCTTCGGCGAGCGATCAAAACGAGATCTGAACTACAGCCAAGCGGTCCGCATAGACAACCGCATTGAGGTATCCGGCCAAGGTACGTCGCCCACAGTGTATAGGCTATCCAATGTTGACCACATCCAGGAGGCTGGGATCGTACCACCGAGGAGTATCCAGACGAGCTTTCGAAGGAGGTCGACCAAGCCTTCGACAACGTCGAACATGCCATTCGCCAGGCTGGTGGGGAGGGCTGGGACCAGGTCTACAAGACGCGCATCTACGTTACCGTGCCGATTGATGAGATTGCGGAGCCGATCATCCGTAATATGAAGGAAAGATGCAAGAGACACGGGCCTCTTATGACTGTAGTGCAAGTCGTGGCTTTGTACAAGACGATGAAGATTGAGATTGAAGCGGAGGCCCACTTTGGGTGATTTGCGCAGCAACCTTTAAAGATTGGAGCGCCTTTCGTTCCTGGTAGAAATTCAGCGTATCTAAAGAAACCTACACGCGTAAAGAATATGAAGCCCATAAGATGTGAGATGTGTATGTGAACGGCGCGCAAAGAGAAAGTCAGTGTCTCGTACTCCCTGTGGTCCCAGTACGTCATCGTCATCGTGGCTGCCCGCTAAGTGGGGCCATGACTGCGCCACAGGTCACAACGATCACTCCCGCAAGCCTCTCTCTTCCAGTCTCGACGACGACTGAGACGCCGCTAGAGTAGCATCGACAAATGAGAAGAGCTTCTTGTTCATCATTCGCGGCATTGCAGATGCCAGAGAGCTTTCCGCGGACATTCACCCGCCTGCTCGTGCGCCACGGAAGTCGCCATCGCCATCGCCATCCTTGACGACTGTCGCGACTCCTTCTCAACGCAGCAATGCCAAATCGATTCCGGAGCAAGCTGGAGAATGCTGGAAGAAAGACGGGCAATTGCCTACGGACAGTGGCATGGCAAACATCCAAATGCCTCATGTGGACAGTTTGCGCGCCTTGCATCTGTTGCTTGCTAGTATTTCTGAGCCCTGGTCGACATGGAAGAAGACGAAATCTTTCACACGAGATAGTACTACCAACGATGCCGACACCTCGCAGACGCGCACTCTCCATGTCAGGGGACTTACAAGAGGACCAAAAGACGCTGGCCCAGCCTCGCTCAGCGCTTCTGAGCAAACTACCGTTGGAGATTCGGCGCATGATCTATGAGATGGCTCTGGGAGAACAGACCATACATGCGTCAGTTTTGGACGGAAAACTATTGACGCGAAGGTGCATACTTCGAAATTGCCTTTGCTACATGCCTTGTTCACCAGGCCAGAAGCTACAATTGGCACTCCCTCTTCTAAGAACGTGTCGGCAGATGTAAGTTGAGTCAGATACAATTGTAGTTGCACAGTCGCAGTACCAGTACAAGACTAACATACAACCGTTCTTAGTTATTCTGAAAGTATCGAATATCTCTACAAAAGCAATGAGTTCTTCATGTCCACGGACTTGGAAGACTTTCCAACGGCAGGCTATCTCTGCTACTTCTTTCAGCCCCAACGTATCATGCAAATCAGCAATCTTAACATCGAATGGGACCTTGATCGCAACCAATACTTCCAGGTCAACCTGATGCCTGTGCATCACCGAGTTGAGTGGTACAGATTATGGGATGGGTTGAGCAAGATGACTGGTCTCAAGAGATTACACATCAAGTTGTACTTCTGTCTCGACCTCTGGCAGGGATGCTATGGTGAATTCTGGGAACAGAACAGCAAGGAGATTCTGCAGCCTGTCAAGAAAATCACGGCTCCAAGAGAATTTGTCATCAATCTTCCGAATTGGCGATGCTCGACTGAGATTGATACCGGCGAATCCAACTGCGTCTTCCAGCTACCAGAGAGGGACGACCAGGAAAGCAGCGCGTCCTGACGCGTCCAGGGACGACTCTCGGACGATCTTAATCATACGGACGGCAGCTTCTCGGGAATGGCTGTGGAGCATTGCGGATGCTCATAAGACCTATGGGGCTTCTTCAAACTCAAGCCGAGAGGATACAACGACCTCGCAAAAGCCAATCAGATTGACGATGGGCCAAAGTCACCGCCTGGTGGAGTACAAGACTCTAAGAAGCAAAACGCAGCCAAGACACAACATGACGGTGACGCACAGGAACCATGCACCCAAGCTCCCACGAGCGGCTTGAACAGGTCTTGCTCCGCCCGCTGTGCCGGCGCGCGTATCTTATCGCATCGTTGATCAACGTGACAGGCGGCGTGGACTTGGCAGCTTGGCGAGCTAACTCGTCCCGTATAGCTTTCCACAACCATCTCGTTCTCCGTCCGCCATCATGCACAGCCAAGAGCTTCGAGCTAGGGTAGCTCCACCACGTGCAGTAGCTGAGCAGCTCAGCTCGAACACCTCGAGCCGTGCGGCGTCCTGTACTTCGGCGTCTTTGATCTATCCGAGGTGTTGTACAGCTCTGGCCTTTTCCCGGCGCAGATAAGAAGCGACATGGCCGCCAGGATGCTTGTCCTGCAGGAACCGTTCGCTCTTGCATGTTCCCGGATACTTCGGGGTTGAGATCTGCTCACGATGCGCTCTTTCATTGCTACCTCCGTCCTCGTCGGACTCGCGTCCGCTGCCGCCGTACCTGTTGTTGCTCCCCGTGGCGGAGACGGCTATGGTCATGGCCATGAGCACAGCAAGTTCAACGTCCAAGTCGGCGTCCGGCCTTACTATCTCGTCGACAACATGGACGAGAGTCCGTTGAAGGAGAAGCTGGAGAGCTGCTCGGAGCAAGAGTTCAAGACCTCGGACTTTGTCCTTGCGCATCGTGGAGCGCCGCTTCAATTCCCTGAGCACACTCTTCAGAGCTACAAGGCTGCGCACCGCATGGGTGCTGGCCTGATCGAATGCGATGTCGCTTTCACCAAAGACAAGCAGCTTGTCTGCCGCCACGCCCAATGTGACTTGCACACGACGACGAACATCCTCAACACTACACTCGCCGAAAAGTGCACGACCCCCTTTTCGCCCGCCGCCAATGGCACTGCTGCGTCGGTCAAGTGCTGCACCTCGGACATCACTTTGGAGGAGTTCGGTACCCTATGCGGCAAGATGGATGGCTTCAACCCCAACGGCACCACGGTAGAGGAATACATGGACGGCACACCCTACTTCCGTTCCGACTTATACGCGCAAGACTGCCCCAAGCTCATGACGGTCGACGATTACATTCCCCTGGTCGACAGCTGGGGTCTGAAGTACGCGCCCGAGCTCAAGACCCCCGAGGTCGAGATGCCTTTCGATGGATACACACAGGAAGCGTATGCTCAAGATCTGGTCGACAAGTTCCGCGAGTACGAGATCGATCCGAGCCGTGTGTGGCTGCAGTCTTTCCTGCCCGATGACGTCTTCTACTGGATCGATAACGAGCCTGAATTCGGAATTCAGGCTGTCTATCTCGACGAGCGCGTTGATACTCCCGAGGGCTACGCCAATGCCACTGCCAGCATCCCTGAGCTCGCTGCTCGTGGCGTTAAGATTATGGCGCCCGCTATGTTCGCTCTCACCAAGTTGGACGACGACGACAAGATTGTGCCGTCGGAGTATGCTATTGCTTGCCAGGAACACAACTTGGACATCATCGCGTGGTCATTTGAGCGCTCTGGATGGTTGCAGATCGATGGTGGTGGATACTACTACCAGTACGTTGCCAACCGGACCAACAACGATGGCGACATGTACGACGTGCTCGACGTGCTTGCCAAGGATGTGAATATCATAGGTATGTTCTCAGATTGGCCGGCCTCAGTAACCTACTATGCCAACTGCATGGGGTTGTAGGCGACACAGCCTTATATAGATCCTAACAAGTTTGAAATATATCATACATTGCTCAAATGACCTCGCTCGCAATAAAGCAAAGTGATCATGTCTTACTTAGTATCCTCCGAAGCATCACTTGCGTTGCCGAATATCCTCAGCTTTACCGTACTCTCCCCCATATCCCAGTCCGTCCTACAACTCGGATACGGCAGCACGACAATAGCGTCGCGCGGCTTCGTCACCATCCTCACGCTATCCAGCAGCATATTCTCTAGCTCCATCCACTCGCTCTGCCAGAGCCACTGCGGGCTGGGATCCATCAAAATCACCCGAAGATGCCTCAGTCCCTGCATATTCGCTATTATCGTCCACGCTTTCTCCCAATTCGCAGTATCGTCGCGGTACACGACGCGATTTGAAGGACCGCGACTCATATAAGGCAGTGCGCGGATAGCCCAGCGCAGATGTAGCGTGCGAATCGAATTCAGGCGCGGTTGTGGGATCGAAGCGGGGAGGTAGAGTAGGTGCGTGATATGGAGGAGGGAGAAGGTATGCGCGCGATACAGATACGAGATCGCTTCCGAGTACCTAGATTGCAGAATACAGTCAGTCTCCATAATACCATTGTGATTGTGATTGCCATGAGAAGGGGAGGAGAATACATACATTCGCCTACAAGCCCTCAGCACAGTCGGCCCACCAGGGTACAACCTCGCGCCTTTCTTACCAAACACCAGCACGCGACACATGTACTCCCTCCCGCCATCTCCCTCGCTGTCGCACAGGAAATGGCCGAACCGCTTCTTCTTCGTGCTCAGTGTCAGATGCACGATCTCTGCGCCCATGACATGTTCGTATACCAATTGTCGCAGCTCAAGCGGCAGTCGCGTGAAGAAGTCGCTCTGGCCCTGCGCGTGCGTGCGCGCCTCGATATCGACATCCGGCTCAGACGTCAGGCTGATGGTGGATGCGCGCGGGCGCACAGTGCCGTGCTCTGGCGGCGCGGCTTTGAGCGAAAACGGGTTCCGAGATTTAGTAGGCTTCGAGGTCGACGGGGAGGTCGACGGGATGTCGGAGGGGGTCCAGCGTATGCCGGGGAGGCGGCTGAGGAGGGACTTTGGGGGCTTCATCGTGGGATTGATGGGGTGGTGATGGGGAGAAGGCGGTGGTAACCTAGGGAAGGGTGCAATGAGAGAGATGGCATGGCACGACGACGGCCCCCTTGCGCGGGCGCGCCAGCATCAGCCGCGGCGCAAAGTTGGGCAGAGTGGTGATGGCGATAGGCTGAGGGCGGGTAAGCGTGCGGGGTCTTGGCCGCCAAGCTTGTTTCGAGCAAGCTTCGTCTGGGGGAGTGGGGGAGGTGTAGTGCCCGTGGGGTAGTATATGGTCTGCTACTTTGGCATGCTAGCCATCGATATGAACTTCTCGATATACGCGTCTGTTCTTGCCTTTATGTGCTCAGAGAGCGATACCGACACCCTGGCCTGCTTTCCGATGATCGCGTGAGAGGTACCGTACGCACGGAAACTCGCATTCTATCGCTCAATCAAGTATCGCGTACTTCTCTGTCTTGATCGATCGTATGTACTAGCAGTGCCGTACATTCTGGCAGAGAGCCATTGCTTTGGTCATACTAACAGGCAAACTTCGACAATGCCATGATGATGCAGTAAATCCGTCTATCTCCATGGCAGAATTGGCAAGACCCAATCAGGCAACTTGTCCGCCTTCTGCAATTTCAGCTGACCGGCAAGACCATGCCGAAAGATGGCAATGAAAGGTACAATTCTCGAGGAACAGCTTCGAATGCTCTCATCCAGCTCTAACCTCCACTGCATCTGAAACAACTGACATACCGGGCCATCCGGGCGAATTCCCTCTCCAAAACGCCACGCTGTATTGGTAGTGGTATACGGCACAGCCACCTGCAGTCATGAACCAAGCGCGCTTTCCCGGGGCGTAAAGTCACTTTGTCATAGACAGAGCCCCACGATAGACTACAGCTAAATACCTCTATCATGGCTAAACAAGAAGACAAGACCATGAGGAAGCGTCTTCGCGCTTGTGAAGAGTGCCATCGTCTAAAGATCAAGTGCGACATTAGCACCAATCCTGACGCGGCAAGCTGCGAAAGATGCACCCGCAACAACCTGGAATGCGTCCCTGCAGCACCGCGCCTTCAGCGCAACCGCATCCAAGAACTAGAGGCGCAGATTCAAGAACTCAACAATCTACTTCAAAAACAGAGCAACAACAGCCCAACGCCAAGTCGCTCCCCTGGCGGACTCTCCACCAACACGCTAGGCCGGTCGCCCGGTAGCCTAACAGACAACCACTACGAAGCCATCTTGTCGTTCCTTGACGCGCGCATCTCACCTATCCAGCAACAACACCTTATCCAACTCTATGCGCACCAAGCAGGGTCGGCATGGCCCGTCATACGCCTTCCCGGGGATCTCGAATATCTCCGCACAAAAGCTCCCATCCTACTTCTCTGCATTATAGCATACACAACTACGCAAGAGGCGCAAGGATTAGATCTAGAAACGCACGATGAGATAATTCGCGAATCGATGCACGTCCTCGGCGAAGAGGTCTTAGGCAGAGGACAAAGATCGCTGGAACTTGTGCAGGCGCTGCTTATAGCCACGTACTGGAACAAGCTTCCGCGAAGAGGTCTAATGGGGAGTTGTTACCAGATCCTGCAGCTAGCCGCAGACATGGCCATCGATGTGGGCATCGCGGGAAACTCGCTGCAGCCCACTCCCCCAGCCTACTTCTGCCGGCATCAGGACGCGGGATCGCTGGAAGCACGACGTACCTGGCTAGCCTGCTACATGGCACTCTCAAGCTCTTCGATCAGTACGCGCAGGCCGAATCCATACCCATGGAACGCTTACCACGAGGAGTGTCTCCTGTACCTGGAAAGCCAAGGCGATGCTTCCGACATGCTACTCTGTCAGCTCGTTCGCATTACGCAACTAGACCAGGAGATATCGAATCAACTATACCTCTGCGAGATCTCTACTTTTGTAGACGGCAACGATTACAACACCTATGCCGTAATCGAAACCATGAAGAACAAGCTCGAAGCATGGGTCGCTCATATCCCACCTAGCCTTGCAACGTCTCAGACGCTCAAGGTGTGGTGGCACGCAGCCATGGTTCACCTGTACGAGCTTGTTCTGCACACACCCACGAACAAAGCTTCCTTCGCAGCGCCCTTCATCCCAGGCCGCATACCCGTCAAAGACTTCCCCAAGCCAACCATCATCATCGCCCCGCTCAAAGCGAGTCTCGAAGCCCTCGTCCAGAACTGCCATGCCGTCCTCGATACAGCCGCAGAAATGGATCCAGCTTTGCTTGTCAATTTCCCATCATTCTGCTTTGCACCAACGGTCATATACTCGCTTTTCGTCCTCGTCACCGTCATGGTGGCTTCGACCGACCCCGCCAACACGTACGGCCAATGCCTACCGAACAACTGTTTTCGCATTGAAGAGTTCGGACTCAAAATGCGCAATCTGGTCATGTACATGAAGGTCCTGGATCCTACCATGAGTTGCTTCACCACACGTATGTTCGATGCGACGAGTTGGTTGGAGCAGTGGTATAACGATTACACTGCTATTCTGCAGCGGTACGAGGCAAATCTAGTTAACTAAATCGCCATTACGAGAGTATCTTATAGAATTGCAACGGCTTCTGAAGTCAGATGGGACGGCGAACTTTGGCCGGTGGTGTCGATCAATTCATCCGTCGTGTTACTGTTGATTGGTGCATACATCCATGGATGCTTGCTGCCGCATGTCGCATGCATAAGCGTGGTCAGCCACGTTCTGGCTTTCAGCCATCGGTGTTTTTTCGCCTGATGCTTGATGAGATGACGTTTCAAACACATGGAAATGTTTCTCTATGGTTTCGATTTGGTGGTCTGCTGTCTGATGATGTAGTTATCGCGCATACATGTTCGAATACACATTCAGCTGACACGCAATCTCGCAGTGGGCGGAGTGGCTAAAGTCCGCTGTCTCGTCCGCGTACGCTAATGACGGTATAGAGGATTCTCCGTTCCTGCATGAGAAAAACGCCTTGCGATGATGCTTGTTGCTTCACCATGTGTCGCGGTGATCTGGTGCTGCTCTCGTTCAGCAGTTACCTTGTGTATATGTCCCTCAAGGTCGCAGTAATATCCAAGTACTGTGAACAGAGCAGATCGAAACGACGGTCACCAAAGAATGCTACTCTTTGTAGTCTAGCGTCATCAGGCGAGCAGTGAGCTATAGCGAAACCTAGTAGCCTCTCGCTTACATCTCCACCCCCCTCACTCTCTCCTCCCATCGCAACCCTCGCCTTGCACGAGCAACCGACAACCGACACCCACGACGCCACAACGTTATTTTTGGTACCTCCACAAGTACATTTACCCACGACTTCTGGCGAGTTCCTGCCGTCCATCCTAGCCCATCTTGTGTTTAGCGACGGTGGTTGCAGCACGACAAGTGGATACCGGCATGCACGCTCCCGCACTGGCCCCTGCTGATTCGCCACATCGTACACTGGGAAGGAAGGCATAGGGCTGGCAGATCAACCAGATGCTTGGCTTTCGATGTCAAGAGTGCCTAGGTGTTCTAGTAAAGCCATCACGATGCCTACTGTGGATGATGATGCTATATTTGGAGCATGCTGCCTTGATCGTGCACTTCTGGATACAAGCTACCTAGTCATTATGAGTCGACGACCTCAAAAGTGCTTGTGGCTAGATGTTGTGGTTTCGGTAGAAGAGGGCGGTGCTATATTTGCCACAGGTTGCATTGATCGTGCACTGCCGGATACGAATTGTCATGTCTTGGCTGGCAAAAGTCGAAGATGTCATGGAAGTAAGCACGCAGGAAAGGGTAACCGGTGAGTGAAATGAGGGTGTAGCCGTGGGTGGAGAGGTTGGGTGTAGGTTGGATCATGGGGAGGGAAGATGTATAAGAGAGTCTGTTCCTTGGGGTTGAGGACGACATCACAGCATCGCATCTTCAACTTCAGGGCCTTTGAGCAGTATCTTCTCCAGCACCTCCTTATCCTCTAACTATCACTATGCGTCTATCTCAAGTCTTCTCCTACGCCATTCTGGCCGGAACCAGCATAGCCCAAGGCGACATTGGCGCTCTCCTGGCCTCACAACCCGACCTCAGTACTCTCCTCGAACTAGTCGGCCTTGTAGACGGGCTAGCAGACACGCTCTCTGCCGCTTCCAACATCACCATCTTCGCTCCTACAAACGATGCCTTCGCAGCTGTACCCCGCGATGTACCCGAGGGCCAGGCCATTGAGAACAAGAACGATACCATTGCCATCGGTGCTCTGCTCGCCAACCACGTCTTCAAGGGCGTCTACCCAGCCAGCGTCATCACCGATATCCCAACGTTTGCGCAGACACTCCTCGACAGCTCGTATGTGAACGAAATCCAGCCTTTCTCCAACTTTACGGGTGGAGCCTACAATGAGCTCGTCAAGAATGGAGAAGATGTCTGTGTTATCTCTGGAGAACAAACTATTTCTACCGTGACTGAAGCTGTAAGTGTTTATCATGACACACCCAATTCGTCGCCAACGATACTAACCCAAACTCCCAGGACATCATGCTTGGCTCAGGCATAACAATCCACAAAGTCGACACGGTCCTCTCCTTCGGCGCGCCCTTCCAACTCTTCACCTACCGCTCCGGCTACTTCGCCATGAACGCCGCCCTCGAAGCCGCCCGCCTCGCCATCGACTTCGGTCTCTCGGACCCCTCATCCACCGGCCTCAACATCTCCGACTTCACCATCTTCGTGCCCACCAACGAGGCCTTCGAAGCCATTGGCTCTGTGCTTGAGTCCGCGGACCAGGCCATGCTGCAGGAGGTGCTCAAGTACCACATCATTCCTAGCAATGTCATCTTCTCGACTGCGCTGGGTAATGTTACGGTGAAGAGTCTGCAGGGCAAAGAGTTGGTGTTTACGGTGCTGGAGGATGGGAGGGCGTGGGTTGATGGGGCGGAGATTGTCTATGCTAATAGTATTCTTTTTAATGGGGTGGCGCATGTTATTGATGGGTTAGTTCTTCTCCTTCCCCCCCATACCAATTATCACACATA